TTTATTATTTCATTTACATCAGTTTTGTCACATAGCTGATTGCCCAGAATCACAGCTTATACATGTCTCTTTAAATTTATAGCACTAAGGAAGGTGTTTGGTTTATATAATAGGTTTTAAAAAAAAATACATGTTTACTAAATGATTACCTAAAGAGAGATATTTTTATTGCATTTACTTTGAGTTTTTCATTTTATGACATCAGCCAATATTTTATATTTAGTTCTGCTTTTCTGTTTTATTATTTCATGTTACACTATGGGATGTGTTACACTATGGGATGTCAGATTCTGTAGAAAAGACAATAATGTGATCCTCACGGTTTTGAATCACTTTTCATCCTAAGAACCCACCATTACTCCATGAAATGCTCACTTTCATTTATAACAACTCACAGAGTTCAAAAGCAATTAATGTCAAATTTAATTAGACTCTAGAACATTCCCCAAGCAAATATTCACAGATTACAATGAAAAACTACATTGAGCGAGACTCCTGACTAAGGCAAGACAACAGAACATGAGATAGCAAATAACAGAACTATTACACAAAAGAAGTAAGAGTTGGAAGTAGTAAGGGCATAAAAAAATTCCAAAATCAGGAAAGCAACTAAAAATGTATAGAAAGAAAAAAGATAGAAAAAAATTCTTTAAAATTGTCAAATTTGGGGAATGTGGCTTTACAAAATACCGACAAAGTATTTGGCATTTATTTATCACAAAAGTATGTTTATGTTCTCTCATGTTAATTAAAGTGATGGTGTTTGTAGGATTTTAAGAAACATAAGATGGAAAGCCAAAGCAAAGTGTACTACAAAGAGTAGAGTTAGAGAAATTGAGGAAATAGAGGAAAATATAGGGAAAGGAATGGATATATGATTGGCACAATAAGAAGAGTATCAGGGTGATAAACCACGTTGGTAGTCGCCTAGTGAGACTCTGTCTTCAAAAAGGGTAAGACTGGGATGGCAGTCCATGAGTAACAAAACCAGATTGAAAATTGAATAATGAGGTTTCCCATGAGTTTTTCCATGATTTCCTAAGTTCACTGGCCTGTGTCCTGCCATCTGCATCTACTAATGGTTTTCTTCTATACGTTTAGGTTAGAACATTTTCAGTGTTATTGATGGTGGAATCAAGAAGTAAAAAGTAATCCAAAAATTAGCCAACCGTAGGACTGAGAACTACACTGTGTTCTTTGTTATTTCTGGACATCAAAGTGTTAGCAAAATTATTTACTAGCCTCTCATTTTGTGTTAACCCAATTTGTACGACTACATTCTAGCACTGAATCCTATTCTATAGTCTGTCTCTTTATCCAGTACTTTCTACATGCCTTCCTCCCTCTAGGTATAGGGTCATACAATGAAATCTCAGTCTTCAGTAAGTCTGACTCCAATAGTTTATTTCAACAGTTTTCCTGAACCTTACCTGTGTCAAACATAGCCTTTAAAAATTGTATCTTCTATGACCTGTGTTAGTTCTTCAATATTTCCATTCTAAGCAGCCACATTTATGGTACTTCAGCATTGTCTTGACAATTATTTGTCCATTACTGAAATGTCTAGTCCATATCTAAAATTTTCTTGCAAGTCTTGTGTTTGGGCTTATGTTTATGTCTTAGATAAGAAGAACCAGACATTTTCTCCAGCCATAAAATGGCCTGGCTCTTATATTATTGGGTTGGCTCTGGGAACCTGTAAATTCCTATTGCACAAGAACATGTTGAGGGAATATTAAAGGGGAAAAGAGAGATAAAAAAGTCTAGGTTTGAAAGTCTTTATAATAAACACAATTTTATTTTAACTTATTGTATTAATTTCCTGCTATAATACAGTAACACAAACTGAGTAGCTTTTAAAAAAAAGGAAAGGAGAGAAAAACAAAAATGTGTTGTCTCATAGCTCTGGGGGCCAGAAGTCTAAAATTAAGTTGTCAGCAGGATCATGCTGTGTGGAATGCTTTAGGAAATAATCTATCCCACACCTTTCTGTTAGCTTCTAATGTTACTGGAAATTTGCAACTTTTCTTTGCTTGTTGTTAATTTGGTCTCTACTTCCATCAAAACATGATGTTTTCCCTATCTCTCTGTGTCTTCAAAAGGCCATATTCTTACATGGACATTAGTTGTATTGGACTAGAATCCCATTGTAGTCCAGTATCCCGTCATCTTAACTAATTATATCTACGCATCCCTATTTTTACATAAGGTCATATGCTCAAGTACTGGACAATAGTACTTTAACATATCCTTTTTTTGAGGAAATAAATCTGACCTATGACATTTACACAATGACAAACAAGTAGAATCATACAGAATAATTTTTTCCCTCAAAATATTGAAAAAGTAGTATGAGAGTTTAAATGATGGGCAGATAGATGACAAACAAAATTGCTTATGTATAGAATATCCTAAAGAAGAAAAATCTGTAATCTACATGATTCATAGCTAGTTGTCGGGTCATTTTGTGAGTGGTCCAAAAAATAAGTAGGGGGTAATGCTAATGTTGATAATGATTAGCTTAAGACAGGGCTTCTTGGACAGTTTTCATTCACTAAATATTTTATACAAATTAATCATGCTTTTTTTGCTGCATATTTTAAGAGATTTGACCATCCCTCAATAAGAAATCAAACCAGGGACTTAAAGCACTGATTATAAATGGCATTGTAGGCCCAAACTTCAGCATTGGCTTAACTCAAGCTTTCATCTGCATTCCCTCAGGAATTAGAATTTAAATGAATCTGTCACCTAGGTAAATGATATGTTTAAAATAGCTTTCATAAATAAATCAATTGCTTCTCTTAGATGTGGAATTTTCGGTTTGTCTTGATATCTCTGAATGATTTTCTTTACATGTTTGTGTTCTAATGGCCCATATAATAGAAGAACTTCTTGTTTTCTGTTTTTTAGATCTTGTTACTCTCCTGGGGTTGTCCAACAACATATTTCTTGGAGGCACACGTAGGGTTAACTTCCACTCTCCAGTTTCTTTTAAAATGTCTGATAACAGAAGTTTTTATTTATTTATTTATTATCACTGCAGCAGATATATCTGGGGGAGGAAGGTGTTTGGTCAACTGTTGTGCCTGTTTGCTTCAATTTATTCCACCTAATGAGACATCTTAGGGCAGCAGTCATGTTGACAGTAGAAGTAATAGCTTTACAAAAGCAGTAACCTGTAGCCACATATTGCTCTTCTGAAAAATGGAAGCATTCGTTCAGGGCACATCTTTTTATTGAGTGACCACCATCTATGATGGAAGATATAGGTGAGAAAAGAACATTTCTAATCGAAGAACACTCCGATAAGGAGGGTCAATTAATCTTTGTCTTTTGAAACTGAGGGTAGGAATTAACTTCTGTAAACTAGGGTGATGGCAAAGTTCAAATAAAACTTACATTATTAAAGTTCTCTGTGACTCTCCTTTTTCAGCCTGTGCAAATTACTTTGTACTTGTGTCAGCTCATGACTTAATACAGTTGCTAGGGCTTGGTTGGTCACCAATGTTAACAAATGCTGAAAACCATAAATTATCTTGGCAGTGGCTATTATCTAAACCTGAATAACTTGGGTTGCATTTAGATGAGCTCATCTTAGCTTGTTGTTATCTTTTGGGAGTTTCACCTTAATGCTACTGAGTGGGAAAGCAAAGTGGAAAGTGAAACTCAAGTAAATCCTGCCCTGACTGCTCACAGGCTTTGAATGTGTAAAAGGATTAAAGAATAGCAGGGCACTTTAGCAGCTCCAAAGTTTGATCTAAATATACTTGATGTTTATGTCAGAACTGACCTTTGGGAACAGTTGATTTTTCGAAGACTGCAGAATTCTTAAAATCCACACATTCCAGATATCTGATGGATTCTACTTAACATTTCACTGTTTCCATGCTAATACAACCTAATAGATACCTGGTATGTTTCCTATTTGGATACTAACTACAATTTTAAAGATCATGATGCTTATGGTTTAAACACTATCTATGTTTAGTTCATATAAATAGCTATCAGAGTTGGGAATAATGGGGGAGGGGAGACAAAACGTATTCTGAACATATATATGCCCTGGTTCCTGAATAATGGAACCATTTCCCAGCCTGTGGACACTATATTTAACAACAAAACCCATCAGGAATATTTTGTGTGATCAAGGAAAGGCAAACTGATTGTATCAAGTAGGAAATTTCAGAACAGAAAGATTCAGCAGAGATTTTCAATGCTTTTAAAAACAAAAATACAACCTCCAATGTTTGTGTAACACACTATATAAGTACAGTATTCTATATGTTATCATTGTTACAAATAGAATGTGCTTCAGTGGGGTCACCCTTATAATTACATAGTATTTTTCTGACATATAATGTTGGAATATTTAAATTCAAGTCTAGTAAAAAAAATTATTAGGAAATCAATAGTATTGGCTCATTTACCTTTGTTTTTGATCGATCCTATATTTACACAAAATTACAACTACAACAGAAGGATACTTCCCATTAATATTTTCTTTCATGTTCTGCATAATTTTCTTTTACTTGTAAATTTAAATAATGTTCAGGAAAACAGAAGAGATAGTTCCAAATATGATAAATCCTAGTCAACAGGATGCTATTCACTAGTGGATTTCAATTTAGGTGTTTTTTGTTTGTTTGGGAGGTTTTGTTTTGGTTTGTTTTGGTTAACAATTGTCCATTTCTAGAAGCACATTCTGAATAGCTCAGCCAGTTATTGATTTTATGTGTTTTTTTAACATGTTTTGAGCAGTAAGCTTACTTTCATTCTATCATCTTTCAGACATACTTACTGAACCCTTAATGAGAAGTAACACACAGAAATGAAATCATGTTTCTTAGCTGACTAAAAATTTTAAGAGGGTTTACCATTTAGTCTTCTCTATTAGAAATGATGTAAACTTTTCCATGATTAGCTGTCTTAGACAATAAAGCTGTGGTTCACATGTTTTCTGTTTCTTTTGTTTTGTTTTTCCCTCTTCACATCCTTAGCAGACACCTGTGTGAGGAGAAGAACTCTGACAGCATATTTGGCGTGAATCTTTCTTGGGAACATTGGCCAAGAGCTGATTAAAGATTTTTTTCAAAACAAACTCTTGCAATGCATATGTTCTCTATTTGGCAGGAAACCACTTCAAGTATATTTTCTCCTAAGTGTCAAAGGGGTAATAGAATTCTGTGAAATTATATGTTGCTCTATTCGTGCCCAACTCTAGCCTTGATTTACAGAAAGGCTTTTCTCTAGAAAGAAAACAACCGTATTTTATATCACAACCTTGAAAATTTCTTACTGTTCATAGTTAAAGAACACAATTAAAGTGCTTTTGCTGAGATCAACAAGCTGCTGGAAATCTTGACATCATTTATTCATTGTTTTCCATTTTGAAAAATAATTGGTTGGTGGTGCTACTTCTCATGCTACTGAAAATATTAATGATTGGCATGTGGTACATTTTTACTTGACTGGGATTAGGACTTCCAACTCCCATTCCAGGAAGTGCAGTGGCTTCCCAGCATTTGGTATCTCCTTTACTAAGAATGTGGAAACTTAACAGTGGTAAGATAAGCCAAAATATGTAAGGCAACTATAGCTATTAGAAAGGTAACTCCAAAAAAGGACAAGTTGGCTGAAATTTTTCACTCAAATATAATTAAAGAAGTAGTTTTTGTTTGTTATTTTTATCTTATTCAGAAAAGTGATGACAATTTCATTTTACAGATGACATTATGTATAAACAGAGTCATAAATTTACTCTCTGTTCTTAATTTGAAACTATCTCATGTTACTTGCCAATGCATCTTTTTCCCAGAAGGACATTGCCTAGTGGCTTATTCTTTACCCAGTTAAGCTTATAGAGTTTGGAAATGATAGCTTCCATTTGTTCCCTGGAGAGAGAGTTACACACTCATCACCATTAAGAAGTCATCATCATTAAGAAGTTTTTTTGCTGACATTGGCCTAAATACTTGTTTTCATTCTGCTACTCAGAGTTCTAATAATACCTTAAATAATGTCATTTTATACTTGATGTTTATACCTTTCAACACTAGTATTCCATTCACTTAATTCTGGCTATAACTTGCTTTCTAGCATCTATACAGATTTTGTCTCTCCCGTGCTAGAAATAAATACTAATGAAGATGCACTTGCTATTAAAGAGCATAGAGAATCCCTTGAGCAGCTGACCTTTATTCTGCCTGCTAATTGACTGAGTGAGAGCTACTAGGCTAAAATGAAAGCCAGGCCGGGATAAGTAAATTAAGAGGGAAATGAAACTTAAGATTTAAACAACTGATACAGAGAACTGGGGAAGAGAGGGACTTTGAGAGAAGAAATCAACTAACTTGCTTCATTCACTGTTTGGTGTCAACCTATCTGATTTTCATTTAGCATAAATAAAGACATATGTCTTTTTTACAGTTAGTGTTGCTCAAATAAAATATTTTAAATACATTATATATTACCACACCTCTGATATGTGATTTTTTAGCCACCAGTTGGACTTCCAAAAGACCAATTTGGAATTGATGAATTCCCATTCATCAAATGAGAACGTTCTGACATTTCTAGAAAGATGTAATTTAAGTAGCAGATGGACTGAATTGAAAAGCTCATGTTGCTAACTCTAAGGTAACAGTGGATTTTGGTTTGCCTATGATGGTTCTGATTTATACTTTGAAAAAAAAGAAACAAAATCTCAGAGATATACAGGCATACCTCAAAGATTTTGCTGATTCTGTTCCAGACCACCTTAATAAAGTTAGTATCACAAGAGAGTCAAATGAGGGGCTCCTGCGTGACTCAGTTAAGCATCCGACTTCAGCTCGGGTCATGATCTCGCGGTCTGTGAGTTCAAGCCCCGTGTAAGCTCTGTGCTGACAGCTCAGAGCCTGAAGCTTACTTAAGAATCTGTGTATTCCTGTCTCTCTGCCCCTCCCCTACTCATGCCCTGTCTGTCTGTCTCTCTCTCTCTAAAAAGTAAACATTAAAAAAATTTTAAATGAGAGTCAAATGAATTTTTATTTCCCAATGCATATAAAAGTTATGCTTATACTATACTATAGTCTGTTAATTGTGCAATAGCATTATTGTGCAAAAAATGTGCATATCTTAATTTAAAAAATACACTTTTGCTAAAAATGCTAATCATTATCTGAGCTTTTGTAAGGGATAAGTTTTTTGCTGGTGCACGATCTTGCCTTGGTGTTAATGGCTGCTGAATGAAAGGGGTGGTGACTGCAGAGGGTTGGGGTGGTTGTGACAATTTCTTAAAATAAGACAACAATGAGCTTTGCTGCATCGGTTAACTCTTTCTTTCATGAATGATTTCTCTGAAGAACACAATGTTGTTTGATAGCATTTTACCCACAGTAGAACTTCTTTCAAAATTGGAGCCAATCCTCCCTGCCTGCAGGTTAGACCAGGTGCATCGTCAGTGAGTAGTAATATTTTGGAAGGAATCATTTTTTCCCCCTGAGCAGTAGTTCTCAACAGTGGGCTAAAAATACTGAGTAAACCATGTTCCAGACTTTGTTATTCCATTTGTAGAGAACAGGGAGAGTATATTAAGAGTAATTCTTAAGGCCCATGGGATTTTCTGAAGGGTAAATGAGTAGTGTTAGCTTCAGCTAACGTCACTGGCTGCTTTAGCCCCTACCAAGACAGCCAGCCTGTCCTTTGAAGCTGTGAAGCCAGGCTTTGACTTCTCCCTAGCTATGAAAGTCCTAAATAACATCTTCTTCCCATAGAAGGCCGTTTTGTCTACATCAAAAATCTGTTATTTAAGTGTAGTCACCGTCATGAATGATCTTACCTAGACCTTCTGGAAAAATTGCTGCAGCTTCTACATCAGCACTTGCTGCTTCACCTTGTGCTTACATGTTATGGAAATGGCTTCTCTACTTAAACCTTATGAACCAACCTCTCCTAACTTCAGACTTTTCTTCTTCAGCTTCCTCATCTCCTTCAGCCTTGACAGACTTGAAGTGTTAGGGACTTGCTCTGGATTAGGCTTTGGCTTAAAGGGATGTTGTGACTGGTTTGATCTTATCCAGACAACTCAAATTTTTTCCACATCAGCAATAAGGTTGTTTTGCTTTCTTATCATTTGTATCTTCACTGGGGTAGCATTCTTAACTTCTTTCAAGACTTTTCCTTTGTATTCTCTACTCGGCTTACTGTTTGGTGCAAGAGGCCTAGCTTACAGCCTAACTCAGCTTTTGACATGCCCTCCTCACTAAGCTTAATTATTTCTAGCTGCTGATTGAAGGTGAGAGACGTGCAACTCTTCTTTCACTTGAACATTTAAAGTCAACTGTAGGATTATTAATTGGATTAATTTCAGTATTGCTGTGTCTCAGGGAGTAAGGAAGCCCAGGAGAGGGAGAGAGATGGGGGAATGGCCAGCCAGTGAAGCACACACCAAACACACCAGCTTATTAAGTTCACTGTCTTATATGGGCATGGTTCATAGTGCCTCAAAACAATTACAATAGTAACATCAAAGATCACTGATTCTAAATCACCATAACAAATGTATAATAATGGAAAAGTTTGAAATATTACAATAATTACCCAAATATATGACACAGAGACATTGCTGTTGGAAAATGATGCTAGTAGGCTTTCTCAAGGCAGGGAGTGCCACAAACCTTCAATTTATAAAAAGTACAGTATCTGTGAAGCACAAAAAAAGTGATTCACAATAAAATGAGATATGTTTGTAGTGAGTATTAATGGAAGTTTATTACCAAACAAGTCAGGAAACCTAATCCAATGGTGCCTACAGATTATCAAAGAATAACTCAGAGAAAATTTGTTTAAAGCATCAGATGGATAGATTAGATAGATGATAGATAGATAGGTAGATAGATAGATAGATAGATAGATAATAAATAGATGAGACTGACAGAGAGAGAGAGTGGGAGCAGGCTTTGGATCACAGTCTCTATGAGCAAAGGCAAGGATGAGACTTGTAAAAGCAGAAGCCAATAAGTTGCACAAGGGAAAGGAAGTGGTGGGTTTAAAAAAACTTTTGACTTATCAGTTCAGAATTTTGTGACTGTAGTGGAGTTTAGGGCAGGCCAACTGTTAAGTCTTCTGTCCATCTGTTGAGTGTAGGACCATAAAATAACAAATTTGCCGTCACACTGTTTTTCTCTAGATATTGATCAGTTCTCTGAAAAATAGTTGTTTTTTGTTTTTTCCTTCTGAGTACCCTGACTTCTTACTGTTATACTCTCCAGGCTCAGGATCATACTGAGAGAATATCTTTATAAGTTTGTTCAAGGATCCTCAACTTATGTTTTTATTTTAGTTTTTACAGAAAAATTGACCTTGTGGCCCCAGGCCTTGTGTTATTTATCTTTTTCAGGAATTTTCCATTTGCTTAAAAAAAGTATCTTTTAATAGTTGCATTAAAAGCCTGGGGGTGTTGCCTATATCCACTTTGTGCTTCCAATCTCTGCTATGTCTCTCTTTAGAAACTGAGATATATGAGTAATGAATAGAGTTTTCACTTGGTTAAATCTAATAGACCACCAGACCAGCAAAAAGTCAACTCTCTTTGCTCAACCTTTTTCCCAAATACATTCTAAAAAACAACTTTGTCCTAAATACAGCATGCAGAGTTTTTCAAGATCAGCAGCCACAGAAAGCTGACCTTTCTATGTGAGAAGTCTTCAACACTTCTGCCTCTTGCTGGCCACTAGTTACAATATCCACCTGTGCTGTGACCAGTATGCTGACCTGTAAGATGCAGCAAGCCATCATAGAATGCTACTGGGATGAGGGAAGATCAGACTATCCCTTGTGCAGGCAATTAGGGTGTGCATTGCACACAGGGATTTTAAAAGCAATAATAAAGCTAGTTAAAGATTGGTGTTTTCTGCTTCTGGCTGTCTTGTGCTCTGTTAATTCCAAACAGGGGCAGTGTTAAAATACTCCTCCCTGCCAGGGCTGACCACTACTTTCACTGCCAAGCCCCACTCATCTTTGGTGCACCAGTGGATATGTCATTAGGCAATGGAAAAGAACGTGGGAATAATAATTTTGTGTACAAGAAATTTGTGCAGGAAATTGATATTGAGAACCACTGCCAGGGACCAAATAGTAGCCTGAATATTTGTGTTTTGGTGCTTTAGGCACACATTGTGCTGTAAGTCTAAAAATATCTTTGTTATTTTTTTAACTGTTTTCTGCATCAGTGAACTAAAAACAAAAGTGCATGCTTAATTAAAAAATACATACTAAATGTCC